CGTGCCACACTATAAAACACGCAGTGCATATATTTGAGTTCATTTGCAAAAACTGATAAACACCACTTTTAAAAAAATGAGCTTATTGCCGTGCATTATCCTCCACATATAGCGCGCTCTGAACCCTGAACATGTTTTGTCAAAAAAGCCGGTTTTGTCCACTTTCAAGGCATCGCGAGTTCACGTTTTACTGCAGAAGTCGACAAGCGCCCTTGTTGTTTTTGAACAGAAGCCGATAAGTCCATTTTAGCGAATCTTCGGATCATGGACTGGAATTGGGAACTGCTGATGTAGCCTATTGTAGTAATGTTGTCTCTGGTATTCTGGCCTGTGAGCCTAAATGCGTTCAGGAGGCGTGGCTTTGGATGGCAATTGCAGGGAGGGTGGGACATTTGCTTTCAGTGCTATCAGGCTAAAGTTAGCATTTTCCAAGATCTCTTACTGCACCTTTAATTAAATTGCAGCCTTTGTGATTTGATAATTGCACATATCACATTTTTTGTATCACAGTTAGAAGACCGTGAAGAATTGATCAGAATTTTTAATCTTTGGTTATAGTCAACTATTAAATGACTATCAATTAGTGACTTTTTTCTGTTTTCTAATTTAATGAATTTAGTTCCAAAACAAAAGGTCCTCTTGCCAGCATGAGCATGACCTGCGAAATAACAAACGCTTATCACCATGGGACAAGCATCTTCTCTTTCACACATGCACAGCGAGAAATAATAAATATATAATTATAATAATTATAATAATAATAATAATAATAATAAAAGCTAAAACCCTCATGCCACAAAAATAAACAAACAGCATTAAGGAGTTTCTCCCCATCTAGTTTGTCAAAAGCTATACAAATACAGGCTCACTTGAAGCTTTGAGAGAAAATTGTCTTTCTTTCTCACACTTGCTCTCACACGGGGGACAGGAGCCACACACATACACTCGCACACCCAAAAGTGAGCTGCACGGCAGGCTGTAATCAGTGGCTCTATGACAGTGGGGGGAGGCAGGCTGGTGGGGGAGACAGAGGGGCAGGAGTGATAACAGATTGAGCGTCTCTGATAAACTCTCCTTTAATGGCTCTGCCTTTCCCCCCTTTCCTTTTTTTTCTCCAGCACCTATTTAGTGGAGTCTTTCTCTGCTGCGGGGATTAGGCTGCTGGATAAGGGCAAGTAAACATGGGCTGCTTCTCTGAGCAAGCAATGGAGAGACAGAGACGGGGAGAGATAGAGAGAGGGGAAGAAAGGGAAGGGAGGAGAGGGAGAGGGAGGGAAAGTGAGAATGCTAGAAAGAACGAGAGTTTGGTGAGAGGGAAAGAAGCAGAACAGGAGAGGAGGAAGAGGATTTTCTAGTGGATGAAATCAGGCATGGCACCAGAGAGTGCGACTAAGAGGAAATTGGGTGTTTGGAATGTTCACCCAACTAAAGTTTTCTGCAGAAATCAGATTATTACATAGTAATTGTTTTTGTAGTGATTTTTTTTATTTTATTTTTCCATTTGTTTGGTGTGTTTTGGAGCTATTCGGAAGTATTGCGGTATCTCCATTGGGAATACAGTTAATGCGAATCCCAGTGGTGTCAAAAAGGAACTTAATTCTGTGTGTTTGGCACCGGGGCATGACACACACACACAAACTCGCATGCAGACAGCAATGCAAACATGGATTACTGTGATGTCTTAATCACAGTGTGGCAGGCAGGCAGACAGACAGGTCACACCGTCTTTACTGAGTTCCTAGAAAAGCATTTCAAGTAAAGGATACATTGATGACACTTTTGAAGGTGTGAGATAATGGCAACTGCTTGAATAATTTTGTAATTAAAGACGACACTATTACCCTTACTGCATTTTATAGTCACAATAGTAACCAAACAAAAAACAAACTGTTGATTAGGGAACTGCTGTGGAATAAATTGCGAAGTTGTTAAAAAATACAGAATTAAGCAGATCCTGGATGGCTGGACTATAAATGGCTTTGAACTGGGCTAACAGCTAATCATGATATCTATTAGTTAAGCTTTTAATCAGCCACCTGCCTAATTGCATAATCAAATCAGCAACCTCTCTAAAAGAAGGTGATGCATGGCTAACAGTCTGGTACTCTTTCTAAATTTTACCTTTTCCAAAGGTGAATGTAAACCAAAAATGCATCATCTGAGACCCGTCAAGCAAGCCACATGCTGGTCTGCAAATCACACCACTTACACATGCATTCATCCCTACATGTGTTTACATTAGCAACTCTATCTTTAGGGCAAAGTGGTAATGGCATTTTGTTATTATGATTTATTTCTCTATGTGTTCTGTTAGTGTAATTATGTCTGATATTAAAACACTGCTTTATTCACCAAAAAAAACTAAACAGCAAAAATAAATAAGTAAATAAATAAATATAATTAAAAAAAAAAGTCTAATTTCTGGTTAAACCTGAAGATTTTAATAATGTTTACTATTTTTCTGCTTTAGTTTTAATGTAAGAGCAGATGCAGCCATTTTTAACTTGTGCAAGGCTTCCAGGGTCATCCACTTTTAGTTACGCAGCTTGATATTACAAACAGTTACTTGATATGATTTTTTTTAATTATTATTATCATAATGGTAAGAAAACTGGTTTGTAGCCCAAATAGTTTTACCATTTACTTTAACATCTT